TTCCTTGGGTGTATATTGGATTTATAATTATTAACAATATGGAATAGAGGAAAAGCATGAATAACAATTTTTTTTCCCTCTGCATGTGCTTATGTAGCAACTAGCCTTTAAAGGCCTGTTTTAATTCTACATCCCATCTTATTTGGGGATTTTTTTTTTATATCATGTTAAATGATGCAGCTTCTGTTTATTAGTAGAAGAAAGCATGTTTATGAAAAACTTTGCTTTAGTTAGGGTTCTTTCTATTCAACAGTAACAACGAAACCTAAAATGTTTGATAACGTTTTGCTTACATCCATTCAACACTGTTCCAAACCTTGAGTCCTGTGCCCTTAATAAATAGTATAAAGGGGAGGAAATTCCTAAGAATTCTACATAAAGTGAAGATACTGCATATAATATAATAAAACAGCATTTAATCTCAATTGCTATACAGGTCTTAAAACAGTTGTATGGGAATGTATGGTCTGTTTCATGTGTATGTGCTGTTGAATGGACAAAAGCTTGTGGTTGACTGTGGTTAAAAATGTAAGGAAACTCTTTTTTAATAAGGTATAGAGTTTCCCTGTTATTTTTTAATTGTAACACATGAATCAAAATATATATCCAGTGGATTTCATAATCTTTTTGAAACGTCAGGTTATATTAACATGTATAATTTCATTATGTGAGACTTCTTTTAAAGATTTGTTTTAAAATATTAAACATCTCAGATTTGATGAAGAATTCCACATACTTTAGACAGTTAACTTAGAATATCTTATTATTTAGAAAATACCAAGTATTGCAGTTATTGTTTATTATGGGAGTTTCATGATTTTTTTGGGGTTGTGGAGAGGTAGAATTTTATTTATCTTCAGTGGAAGTTAGAGAGTTCATTGGTACAGGAGAAAAAAAATAGTACATTACGGTAACCTATTGGGAAGTATCTACTTAAATTAGCATTGGATTTCCTAGCACCCAATTAATAATGTCTGTCATGTAAGTGGCTAGAAAAAATAAGTTATGCTTTGCCATATTACAATTTTAGTAATTTTCAGGAAGGATTTTTTTTTCACATTGTGTTGTTGGCATTTGTCTATTTGGCCAAGATTTTATATATTTTTAATAGATGCTATATAGGTAGATTGTTTCAGTGAATCCTTCATATAAAAATATCTAAAGATTTTTGTTAGGTAATAGTATTTGCATTTTTAATGCATTTGATGAGCTTTTGCATGACTTCACTATTGACTTAGAGTTGTCATATCTTAGCATCCTAGAACAAAGGTTAGAACAGTATGGGAGGTTGATATTTGTATGCTTTGGAGAGGAATTTGAGATGTTACCCTGTTTTGCCATCAATTTTCAAGTATGCACGGGTGCATCATTAATCATGAGAAATGCAAAAATAAATAATCTAGTCCCATTGGATTTTTTTCTATGAATACTTACCTTTTCGTATTTATATATATATACAGTTGAGGTATTTAGGTAACCCCTAACCTTTTGCTTCAACAAAGAAGTACAGTATAAAAATATTACCACAGTTTTCATGTGAGCAGCTCTTGAGAGGGGGGGAAAAGCCCTCTAGATGAATATTTGTTGGAGAAAAAAAAAAAAAAAACTTGTGATACAGAATGTCTTAACTCAGCCCCAATACAGTACTTGAGGACCACCAGTGTGTAAAATTGAAAGCACATGAATTTTGAAGCACTAGAAAAGGTTTGTAATTGATTAGCGCTGCTTTAAAGTATTGGAGTACGGTGAGTTTTGATTTGTGAATGGTTCTATTCAATAAAGATTAATTCTGTGTGTTTGATAAAATCTTAGTGCCTTCAATGAGTTAGCTCCCCCTGCTCCTGCAGTTTATTTAACCACCAAATATTTCAGTGTTCTTTTAACAAACTGGAACATTTCTATCTTACTGAATTTAACTTTAGCATGACTGATTTAAACAAGTCAGACTATCAGTTGTTAGCTGGAGGAGTGAAATTGAATAAATTAATATTTTATAATTTTAAAATAACTAAACTATGTCATAATGTAATCATGTATATTTCATGCCTTGTGATATAGAGACTGACTGATCAGGAGCTTCACACAGACCAGCCAGATCTTTTTCTACAATTTCTTTTCAGTGTTTTACATTTCAAAACAGTTTTTAAAATTAAAAAATTAAAAAAATTATTAACAATTTGTAATGTGAAATTAGGATAATTATAATTTAAAATAATTTATATGAGTCTTTGGGAATTACTTTGACATTTTTCACTTTTGATATGTATTAGAGTGATTTTTCTGTGTTCGTTTTTAACTTTGTAATCCTGCTCTCTGGATTTTGGAATTTAGCTCTGTATTTTAGAAACAAGTTATAAAACATCGTCACTACTAAATCTTGAAGCCATAAAAATATTATTATTGATAGGGACCACAACTGCTGTTTTGGAAATCAGTGTTCACACATCATGTTCAAGCAGTTACAAAGATTTTAAGTAATCAGTCAGCTGGTAAATTTTCATGTTATTAATTATAAAATACTCCATGAGTCACATCTGTGATTTTTCAGCAAGCTATATTTATGACAAATAATGGACAGATTTTGAGCAGTACAGATTGAAAATTTTTGATTAACTCAAGGTGAAGTATGCTGAGGGATCAAGGACACTGAGACATATTCTCTTTAACACACACACACACACACACTCACAATCTCTCTCTCTCTCTCTCTCATTATATTTGAGGTAAGCCAGTAGTTAATATGTGCTTTGTTCCTTACCTAGGAAAAGCCTAAACTTTAACTATTTTACAAAATTAGAGCACATACTTATGACATCTCATTAGGTCATTGTGATAATCATTATATAAGAATCTAAAGCCTGAAGTGAGGTTTTAGACTTCACATAGATTATAGAATGGGGAAATGATTGCAATGTGATGATAACCTATACATGATGTCCACTACTCACCTGTAATTAGTCTGAGGTAGTGGGTTCATGTTAAGTTCTCTATTGAGGGTTTAAGATACTGTTTGGGGGCTGGAGAAAGGGAAGGTGAAACCCACTTTTCAGAAGAGGAAGAATTGGTTGTAATGTTAAAAAGAAGTTCACTACCATGCCTTACTTAGAATTCTGTCAAGTTTTGGAAATTTTAATGTAGAATAGTTATTAAGAATGTTACAGAAATATAAGATCCCTGTTATGATAGAATAAGAAGCATTTTAATATATTCTTTGTGACAGTTTTAACGTATTCTTTGTGTAGCTATACTTCTAATACTGAAGAAGTTTTTGAAACTTGTTTCTGATCCGGTTTTTAAAATGTATTTAAAATAAGTAGTTAAACACAGTGATATTGTTAAAGAGTAACAACTGTCTCTGTTATCCCTCCCTGATACCTCTATTATCCCTGTTTCAAGTGATCCCTCTGTGTAACAGTAGTCTTTACCATTCTTTTTCCTTTTATCTCTTGGGTAGTAGTAACAAAAGTTTTGATATATTAGGTATAATTGCTCTATGTGTTATAATGTAGTCTAGCTGTATTTATGTCCTGCTTCCTTAATTTAGGAATTTTTAGAGTAATACTTAGTACCCATCATTAAATTTTTAAATTAATCTGTGATTATTATATTGTATATATTATAACTTAGAGGGCCCACTTACAGTTATTGAGGGAGTCACTATAGCAATTTTACATTTTTTGTAAAATACTGTATATTTTCATTACCCTGTAAGAGAAAGCATTTTTTCTCTCTTCAAGTTTAATATTTATCTTTGACCTAAACTAAGACTGATCCTCTAGTAGTAGCCAGTTAAAGTGTTTGAAGTAGGAGGAGTAAAGGAAACTCCAGGCATTAGTCGTAAGTTAAAAGCAAAGTTAATATAGATGTACACAGCAAAAAAATTTAAAGGATATAAGAAAAAATTTTAAAAACTTGCCTTGTATTGGAACATGTTGGACATCATAAAGAGAATCTTGTAAGTGTGTTTAAATATTTTACTATAATAACACATTAGCTGATGAATGTTAAAGTCATTTGCATATCTATATCAACACTAACTTGAAATTAATGACTAGGGACTATATTTTGCCTGCTTCTTTTAAAGTCCAGCATGGTTTAATAGTTGTGGCTTTTAAAAATCATATGGGATATCCTTATGAAGCTTTATTTTTTATGAGACTAAACAGCAGTATTCATTTTGGTAGGTCCAAGAATGTGATTAAAAGAATCTTAGACGTTTCAGTGTTTGCTGTGTGTTTGTAACAAGGTCTACTATGGTTAACAGTGTGTGAATGTAAAATTAAAATTATATAGAAAAATGCGTTTGCATATAAGTTTTAAAATACTTCCATGAACTTTAATATCCTGGGCAACTATAAAGATCTTTTAAAAATGGCTGTGATGTGCTTATCGTAATTTTGTTTCAGCTGAATGTGTACTTATATACAGTTGTTTAGAAACAAACTTATATAGATAGGATATAGTTTAAATTTACAAGTAAATTTCTTTTAGTTGAGCTGGTTAAAATGTTAACAGTACTACAGGTTTATTTCTGTGTTTTACATGGTAGACCATAATGTTGAGTTAATTCTGTGGTCTGTTATTTTGTAAAATTGTTTCCTTTTTGAAGTTTGCTCAAATATTGGGAGCTGCCGGAGTCAATCATTTATAATGCTTTGATTAATTTAGAATCTGATTTTTCTTTTGTTGGGGGTTAATGAGAGTATTAAGCTGTTTCTTTTACTGTTTTCATATCCTCACTTCTGTAACTCTGGAAAACATTTTAATCAATGTGAGATAATTTAATTTTGTCTACTTCAAGTCATTACTTTGAAAATTAGATATGTTACAGATACCAAATGCAAATAGATACAGAAATTTCATTTTCAATTCTTAATGCAACAAGATAGCATTATTAGGATCTTTAATATATTACTTGGAAAAGCTAGCAGTTTAAGAATCATACCTTTATGTTTAACAGGTTCATATCTTACAGGATTTTAAAATATGATAACACTTACCCCAAAAGAAGTTTTGCTGACATGGTGTCACTGTGCTGAAGAGGCTGTTTGATGCCATAGTCCCTCCTTTTTTTTTCAGATAGAACTTGTACCCTCTGTTGTAAATACTGCTTGCAGCCTTAAACTGAAAATACAAACCATACCCAAACTTTGTTTTAGTTTTACAGTATGCCTGGAGTACATAGACTTTATATTTATTTTTTTCTGTCAAGAAATTATGTAGCTGGTAACATGTGAAAAGCAAAGAAACAAAACAAAAAGAGAATGAGCAAATATTTGAAGGACCTACTATTACTGCATAGACTGTGGTTAGAGAGCACTCACTGACTCTGTTGGTCTCGGTGGCTGGTAGTGACCTGCGGAGATTAACCATTTAAAAACCAGAGACTTCTTGCTGTCCTCCAGGAGAAAGTTTGCACCGCACTTGTGGTTCTGTGGTTGTTTGTGAGGCGAATGAAGCATTCACACAATCCAAAAAAGCAAAAGCTTTAAAACTCCTTTTTTTTTTGCAAGCACTATTACTGGAGAGGCAGAATCATGTGGTTTGTGACCTCACAGTACTCAAAGTAAAGTGGGACTGCCTACCACTGTGGCTTTTCCCCCTTGCTCTTTCTTTCTCTCTCTTTCTCTCTCTCTCTTTCTCTCTCACAAAAGGCTTGTGGTAAGGCCTTTCCTGGCATCCAGAAGGATATAGCTTTTTAATTTTTGTGACTCATGAGGATTTGGATAGAATACAAATGCTGAAGGAGCCCAAACTCCTGTAAGGTTAAGCATTTGTAGAGCAGAGTTCTGCAGTTAAGGGCTTTCCTTTCTACTCTCCCCCCCAACCCCTGCCTTTTTGCCTCCTCTTTTTAGTTCATTATTGTGTCTGTGGATAAATGAACAAAATTGGCTCAAGAGTCTGTGTGAAATTCTGAACAACAGTGATGATTTACAATAATTTACATCTTTGGACTGTATCACATTCTGGGGTCTGCTTCATATTTGCTGGGTGGCTGGATTCCTTCTGTTTTCCTTTTTCTTGTCTTCTTAAACTTGTGAATCTGTAACTCATTGTAAAAAAAAAGTTTACCTTAAGGTCTGGTTGCAAACTGCTTGCTAGGCTTGACTGTAATTGGCTGTCATGAAAGTGTTAGTCTAGGCATTTTTTTGTAAATTTTAAATCACGTCTGTCTAGTTTATTATCAATAATTTAGATGGCGGCCTTTACAATAACGATTAAATGTAATCTTTCATTTATACCATTATCTCATGCCTAGTTGGAAGATCTTAAAAAAGTGAATGACAGGAATTGTAATATAGTTTATTGGATGAATCTTAGTTTTCTTTATGATTGTAATAATTTTTATCTTTCATGGAATTGTATTCATTTTATATAATTCTTTAAGTAGTTTGGACGTTAAAGTTTCTGATAGCAGATCTTCTATAAAGTAAAAATACTTACGTTATAATGTAGATTATTCACTTTACATTCTGTGAGCTTAGAATAGAGTGGGTTAACAGAAGCTATATTTTTTTGTTTCTAAACCTTTGAAATAAATTACAAAATGCTGTGTGTAGTAAGGAATAATGCCCACAGACAGAGTATGTTAGTCGTCTCGATTTGCTAATTCTGATTCAGAAGAAAATTGGAAACATCTTTGGGAAACTATCTCCGTTTTTGCCCCTTTGGAGAAGTATGTATAGAGCTCATTTTCTTATTAGGATGATTATATATCATAGGCAGTGGATTTTATATTTATGAATAGAGCTTCCTGTTTTCATCAGTTGGGAGCAATGGAGTATTTTTCAACAAAAATTATAAAGGCGAACAGACCAATTTTCTAGGCATTTTTTGCCATTTATCCATGCCACTCTAAATCTGCATGTTAGACTTCTTCCTAGTGTGACAGTAACTAGGAGTGGCATAAAGTAAATGGGGTAGGCGGAGACATTGAATTACAAAACATTATTTGGAATGTACAAGGAGGTAAGGGCTGGGGAGGTAGGAGGGTGTTAGAACTAAAATATCCCTGCATTCTTTCTACTACGTTTGATTCGTATTAGATCATGATAACTGTACAAATATCTTCATAAGTTTCTTTAGAGAAAATTTGATTTTCCCAAAATACACTGGTAGGGCATGGAGATGATTCTAGTCCTTTATTTTTCAAATGTCCAGACCTTTTTCAGTATAAACTTTTAGTGATAAAATACCAAAAATATATTTTGTTGTTTTAACTACAGATTTTTCATGCCTTATTGTATGTATAAACAGGTTTGCCATCGAAAGGCAAAAGCTTTCTTTTAACATGCAGTTATTCATGCGAAGGAGAGGAAAATGATGTTTTCTCTTTTATAAATAAGTTGTACCCATATTATCTGTATCTGTAATTAGTATCCAAAGTAAACAAAAGGAGGGTTTTTCTCATATAGCTTGTGGGATTTCCAAACACAGTTTCATGTGTACATATAATAGCAGAATCAGTTAATGAAAATATGTAGGTAGCTGCTGTTGTATGATAAGCCAATGGTTTTCTTCTTTTGGAATAAGTTCATAGTTTCCACATCAGTATTGACTGAAACATCTTACAAACCCAACATTTTGCTGAATATTTTCTTACTTAAAATTTTCTTTATGTATACTTTGGCTCTCCAAATCAACCTGATAAGAATTTGAGTAATTTTCAACATCTATTTATCTTTTAATTGCTTGTTCTCTTTTTGAAGGTAATCCTCTTGTATGTAATTTTTGGACCAGGAACATTATTCTTAATGCATAAGAGTTTAGTAGATATTGTTAAATATGCCCTTTTTGTCCTGTGTGAGGCCTATGAAATTCTAGCAGGAGAAAGATAGTGACATCATGTGCTTTCAAGTTTGTATATTCATTATCTACATGATTTTTTTTTTTCTAAAATGAAAATATATCCTCTTTGGAGCAAATATTACTTTGTTGTAAAAATTTAAAAAACAAGTGATAACTGGTACGCATTTGATAATTGAAACTATTTCATTAGAAATATTTTACTACATGTAAGGAGATACTGTTTTAGAAAAAAGTCATTGCAAATAAAGCCCTTGTACAGATTTATACCATGCTTATAATGAGAAATTGAAACCACAGATTTAAAAAAATATATATATATTTTTGTTTTTTAAAGACCCATAAAATGTTATCCTCTTTGGGGACATGTTAGTATTTGCTCTTTTGAAGTAAGCAACAGGTTTAGATGTGCTGTATAGATCATATATTTTAATGCTGCGGAAATGAGATATAGTTTTGAACTTGAAATCAATTTCAAAGAAAAAAGTGGTTGGTATCTTGCTTCTCCATTACTTTGTAGTTAATAAAATGTGTCAGAATTGGTTGAACTTTTAAAAATACCAAGATATTTGTGTTTAAATGCTATGTATGTCTTCATCGTAATCGTTTGAATAATTTTTTAATTTTTTAATGATATTTTAAATACATTAGTTTTACTTTATCAATATCGTGCTCATTTCTATGCATTTATTTTTTTAAGGATTGTTTTAGACTTTTATTTGCTGCTAATTCTATTTTTCTTTTAATTGAAAAAAGAGAAAATGATTTGTAGGAATTTGTAAACGGTGGAAGTCCTAATTTGGCTTAAAAATGTTCAATTATGAGGTTTTTAGGAAGGAAAATTTTAATTTATTGTTTCATCTTAGTATGTGACTATATTTTCTTATTTTACTTTTTTTCTACAATTTTTCTTTTTTCGGATTTGATCTATAGTTTTTTAAACTTACATGGCATCGATTTGGCCTTATATTGATTACTTGAAAAATGTTTCTGTTAGTAAAATATGTATAGTTTCATCTGTTAAATTAGAGTGACTATGCAATATTCCATTTCCTTGTTTAGTGGGTATATGCTTAGGTACACAACTACGTGCACATTTGTCTGATTATGTATGTATACGGGGCATTGTTTTGTAGTACTTGTTGTAATAAGAGTACTTTTTCTCAGTTTATTTTAATTAGATCATGTAAAAACACAAATTAGCACCATTTCCTTGATTATTTGAACAACTTCATTTGATTCGTTTTAGCAACTTTCTCAATGTGAGATTATGTGGAAACTGGATGCCAGAAGAGAAAATACTAAGTCAATCTCTCCCTCCCTCCTTCTGCCCATCTCTCCCCTTCTACCTGTCTCCCCAATTCCTCTTCTTTCCTTTTCTTTCTCCTTTAGGCTTTTTTGGTTTCTCTTCCTTTTCCCCCTCATTTCTATGCAGCTTCAAAGTAGATTCTTAAGTTCTAGTTGGGAATATTGACATTAATCCTCACTAATGAATACTTGGTAGATTTGGAGCTCTTAACTCATTACAAATTGTTATATTCTGATATGTAATACCTCAGTTGTTAGATGGTATTGGCATCTGATTATAGAGACCTAATTTCTTTTAGCTGTTTTTAATTGTTTCTTGAATCCTTTTATGCTAATTTACTTTAATACATTGTTCACATAGCATTAACACTTTATGAGGATTACTGTTTTTTTTTTTTGTTTGATTGTTTTTTGAAGTGCAGAGTGATCCATACTTGTTTAATGTAGCTGTATAAGTAATTCATGTTTCTTGTAATTATTAGAACAATTCATCTTCGAATGCTGTCATTTTTGTAATAATAAAAAAAGGCGAGAACTTGCAGAAAATATGAGAAACATGCTCATATGACAGCTGAGGATGTGGCCAGACTAAAGCAGGAAACTACTACCCACAATGCAATGTTACATACACTACCACTTAATAAAATTTATATCAAACATGCTACTGACAAAACCAAAGAAAAATAATATCCCAGCTATGCTATTTAACGTATCTAGGGAGAAGTGAAAGTAAGCTTTTTAGAACCTTTGTACTTAGAGAATATAGTAAATGAAACTGCAGGACATTATTGTATACATTGGAGCACTGCTGTAACTTTGTGCTATGGAACATGGCTGTAGGAAAAACTGTCTTATAATGAGAATCTTTTGTATATTAGCTTTCTTGGAAAAGGTACAAAAAGAAAATCTCTCTTTGAATTAAACTGTTTTAGTATTAAATAAGATTAGAGAATATTCTCACTTAGAAAAATAAGTTAAATTATGAGATATTCATTGTCATCTAAACTTTCAATATAGCCATGTATATTTCTTTACAATTTGGTTTCAGATGTCTTTTATTGCCAAGTTGGGGGTGGGACTTGAATTGTTCACTGAGGCATATTTCTTTTTGAGGTAATTATTTTTCTTGCTCTTCATTTATGTTAATAGCTTACTCCATCAGTCTATGTGCTTTACTATAGGGAGGTTAGTCTAAAGCAAAAATGTGAACCACTTTTATAATGTGGTTGAAGAACATGTTAAGGCATCTTCTAAAAAATCGTGTTTTACTATATTTAAGGTTTCCGTTTATAAATCTTAATCTCCTGTGCCCTTCGCTGTCAGACTTCAGGAATTTTGATGAATTTAGTAACTTAATAATTTAGATGAATTTCAAAGTTTTATAAAGAAGGTTGTTTAAGGTTAAATAAGGGAACATAATAATTTTTGAACTGATAACTAATGTATAGAAGTTTACTCAGAGGAAGAATAGAAAAGATGATAAGTTAGTATTACTTATGAAGGATTCCCCTCTGAGCATTCCAATATACAAATTGTCAGTGTTTTGTTTCACAGCCGACACAATAATTGTCATCTCATCGTTTAATTGTGAATATCATTGTATGTCTGTCTGTATCTCTATTAAGGATGATTTGCTTAATTGTTTGAAGTTTTTTCTCGTGTAGAAACTGCTTATCAATAACAGCTGTAGCACTGTGGCTTTTCTCCATGGACTCATGGTGGTCTTTGGAACAACGTTCTTCAACTTTGACAGGTGAGACAGAGGCTCTCCAGTGCCACTGCTTTTGGATGAATCTAGCTGTGGTTGGAGAAAGTGCATCTTGCCAAAATATATGGGCGAGACCACACACAGCCTTTAAAATAGTTATTGTAGGCTTATTTTTAGGAATACATGTCCTGACAGTTCTTTTATTTTCATGCCAGTTTCATTACTGTGTATAGATTTTTCATTGGTTTCAATAAAGGCGATTGCAGATTTAAGTCTCTATTTGTTAGGCCTTATGTATAATTTAGGCTGGAAAATACCTTGAGTTCAAGAATAATTAAAAATATAGAAAATATATTGAAAATGAAGCACTAGAATACTGATCTTTTTGTTTTTATATATTTGACAGTATTCCCATTGGAAATCTCAATTTCTCAGAAAGCATAGCAGTGAAAACTTGAACCAATTTCATTTTCAAGATTAAAGAAGTCAGGAGAGAATATTAAAATATTCATATATTTTAATTACATTAGTATTAGAAAAAATTTATAAAAGTACGTATTTTTATAATATTAGTATAATAAAGTAAATGTAAGTTTTACACTTTAGTAGAAGCTTGAAAGCATTGAAACCAATTCCTGAAGTCAGTTTCTTAATGCATAGGCATAACATACATGTTATCCAGTCTTTTTATGGGATGATTAAAACTTTATTCAGCTTAGTGAACTATAAAATTGTTTAAATATGTTTAAAAATAAGTATTTCTAGTTTTCTAAAACTCGCTTTTTTAGTGACCAGTAGAGATCACTCTAGACTTTTACAAAATGTTGTGTTTCTTTTTATAAAATGCTATATTTGGATAATTATTTATGATTCTTATTAAGTTATTAGTGATAACAATATTAAAACTTCCTGGGAATGGGAAGTCACAAGACTTTTTACTTGATGATTAATGCATGCTGCTTAGGTATTTATAGTATGTTTTAACCATCTAAGGTGAGATTACAATTTTTTTCCTAGTTTCATGGGGAAAACAGATTCTATAGAAGTAATTGGAAAATCAGTTTTCTCCTACTGTTATCACAATATCCTTCCATTGTTGAATGATTTTGGCAGGTAAGTAGTAGGGAAATTTGGTTCCTATCGCTTTTCAAGAGAACAAGTTTATGGATAGAAGAGAGAATGTATTATATACAAATAGATTGTTTAGAGAAAGATTTGATGCTTGCCTGTCAGAAATTAACATGTATGTGAACCTGATTCTTGCTAGGTTGAAAGTAGAGCTACATAGGTCACTTTTAGGATATTTGAGAAAACTTCGAATATGGACCGGATAGCGATGATACTATGGAATATGTATTAAGTTAGGTGTGATCATGCTGTCGTGTTTTTATAGGAAAGTATCCATAGTCTTAAAAGAGATATGAGCTGAATTAATAAAATTATTTAATACATTCATAACATAAATACATTTGTAAAATAAATATGTCAAAATGTTAGTTGGTGAATATAAAGGATACATAGGCATTTGTTTCACTATTTTTCAGCTTAAACAGTGAATTCTGAAAGGTAAACCATCTTATGTTTAAGGGGTACAGAAATTTGACTTCAAGTGGAAATCAAATAGTTGAGGAAAAGTCACTCATGTATAAATAGTAAATTAAAAAATGAGTGAATGTGAATAGCTTGGGCCATACAGAGCAATTTTTAGATTTTAGTTTATAGTTTTATTCTTTATATTTTATTCACAGTAAAAAAATGACTAGTTTTCACAGTTTATATATGGCAAATATAAATTGAAGACGGTAAAATATTTTTGAAAATCTTAACTTTAAGAATTGTAAAGTGGTATTATGGTAAGTCAAGGCAGAAATTTTTAGAGGATCAAAACAGCATCTGTTATTGTTAGGTCATTTGTGTATTCTTAGCTGTATGCTTCTGGAGTATAAATAAATGCCTTAAGTTTATTTACATTAAATACTAATATACTGTACTACTGTTACTAAATTATTCATACTAATACTACTAAATTGTTTATACTACTACATTACACTTTTCAAGCAATATTTTAGTGATCAGAAAACTACATCTCTATGTACGAAGTATTAATTTTGAATTTGTGTTATACTAGCTGATGCCCTACCAGAAATTGACATACTATTTCTAAAGGGCCAAGTAATAAATATTTTTGGCTTTGTGGGCCATAGGATTTCTGTTAACTACCCAACTCTGCCATTGCATTCTGAAAGCAGATGATAAGTAAACAAATAGGTATGGCTGAATTCCAGTAAAACTTTATTTACAAAAACAGGAAGTTGTGGCTGGGCATGGTGGTTCACACCTATAATCCCAGCATTCTGGGAGGCTGAGGTGGGAGGCTCACTTGGTCCTAGTAGTTTGAGACCAGCCTGGGTAACATGATGAGATCCTGTGTCTACCCCCCAACCAACAAAAAAGAGAGAAAAATTAGCTAGACACGGTGACATGCCCTTGTGGTATCAGCCACTAAGGAGGCTGAGCCCAGGAGGCACAGGCTGCAGTGAGCTGTGTTCTTGCCACTGCACCACAGTCTAGGCAACAGAGCAAAGCCCTGTCTCAAAA